AGCATTCCCGGGAGAATTGAAATGGAGATCGTTTTGGACTGTTTGCTCGTTGGGCTCATTGTTGACTGTTTGGTTAGCGCGCGATCATGGCTACGGTCCACTTTGTCCCGGGATCATTTCCAAAGATGCAAGCCGCGCTGATGTCACGCTGTGATTCAGAATTCGCCTCTTTTCACCGTGGCGCTTAACTCCGACGGAAACTAAGTGCAGGTTCGCGGTTTTTGATGAGTGTTGACGCAAGTAGGAGAATTCTTGTCGGCAACGTTGGGGGCGATGATTGATATTGGCTCGCGTGTCTCATTGTTCTCGCGTTTGGCGAGGCACGCAGACGGTAGAGTGGTAAAAAGAGCGGTTTGATGGGAGGTCACAAGGTCACTTTCCGCATCTCCGGCAGGCGGTTTATGTTAACACCTGATTATGTCATTTATTCTAAACGTGGAAATGGGCTGAGGGTTTGATTCATGTGCGGATACTATCCGAAATTTAAAGGTAAACTACTAAACTTTGACAAAAATCGTGGCGAGTACCCGCAAAAATGCATTTTAGAAACCCTTGCACCAGTGGCGTAGCTAGGAATTCTTTAAAGGGGGAAAGGAGGTAAATTAAAGAACGTGACGGTAAATTTACGTTAGTATGTGTACGCCCATGATAATATTTTATGTCTGCCCTCCAAAAGTAAAAAAAAGGATAAAATTAACGAAGCTAAGGGGGGACGGGGGTCCAGATCCCCATATCAGTGTAAAGGAATTGGGTAAAGCCTTTGTAGCAGAAGTCAGCATTTAAGATTTGCAGTGAAAATTCTTAGATAAAGTTGATGAGCGACTGCTAATAATTTTTTTCGTGTCGATAAAAGAGAGTTCAGACTTTTACGAAATCAGTTTGGCAAACTCAGTTTTGTTTGCTCGGCAGATAACAAGTTGGTCATGCATCAATCACCATTAAGGAACAAGTAATGTTGAACTGAGAGTAACTTCTAGAGAAAGCAAAAGTCTAACGATGCTAATATTCGAGCTGAAATATTCCAACACCATTCGATGGTTTTATTTGTTACAACAAGTTTCATGCCAAATTATTGATTAATTTTTGTCTGCGAAAATGAGACCGTAGCATCCGCTCTTGTATCATATCCATCTCGAAAAATATCCATTTCCAGCCATCGTTCGTGAAACAAAGTCGGTGCGACCGATCGTGCACAATCCAATCAGAGTTTTTCTTCAAAATTTAACGTCAACAAGCAATTTGGAAGTTTTACACTGCGTCTAGCCTTCCAAATTATGATCCTGAACCCTAACCACAAGATCCTGCGGACCACGTAACCGCTGACCTTGAGGACGGCTCTTCGAGTTTTAAGCACGTTCCTCCGTAATATTTGGCATCCCGAACGTTTCAAATTGGAGATTTATTACCTATTATATCAGTCTATGTGATGAGAATCTCTTCTTCGGGGTAGAGAACACCAGCGTTAACACTCTCAGTTCCGCATTTTTGTTGATAAAAGACCTTGATTCTAGTGATTATTACAGGGAAACGTTTAAGCTCAGAAAGAAACGCATCAGTCGAATTCACAGTTTAATTTTTCGCAGCTACTTCTACGAAAATTTCCGTCATCCAAGAAATTGAAGGAGGTAACCGAGAGGATATTCATGTTGGACCGGTTTTAGCCTTTCTTGAGCAAAAAGTTTAAAGTTCCATTATATTGGGTTTCTTCCTAAATCCAATATAAACAACCGGGTAGACTGTAACTTGTAACCTAAAACCTGCAACCCGTAATTTACACATAAAAAAGAAAACCTCCGGTCGTGGAAGGCGTACTTACGGGCTATGTAGACATACCGTCCGCAATCCGTCCTCAAAGGCCGAATGTTTCGGCTTCTGAACCCGGAGCAGTCGAAGCTACGGCTCCAGCACCCGGAACATTCGGCCTTAGCGCTCGGAACTGACGGTACTTCTATTTAGCCCGCAATTGTTTTTTTCAGTGTAAATTGGCAGTCTCTTTTTCCCCTTATTTTTCAAGTAACAGTAACATATTTGACTACTTTCCTCAAATTGTTGGTTGAAATCTAAAACAAAATTTCAAACTACAAAAATACGTCTCTTGAACTTCATAAAAATGACATTTTTTTTAAAAGTTGATTATCTCAAAAATAATTTTCAAAAAAAAAATACGCTGCTTATGAGGGAAAAATCCCCGCAGATAACGTCGTTAAGCCACCAAAAAAACCTCCAAAATTTTGAAACAAAATTGCAAACCGAGTCATACGCTACTAGACGGTCGCATCCGCCGTAATTAATCCGCACATGGAAACACTTTACCACGGAACAACGAATCCGGACCGATCAGAAGCATCATCGCAAAGCGGCGAAGAGGAACTACACAGAAAAATCGTCTCCCACACGTAAATAGCGAGGGCCGTTGAGGTAATGTCCGCAACCGCACACTTTCAACACTGTAAAAAAGTTCGTCCTTTAAACTGGTCAATTTTTGAATGAGGGCACTTCTGAATCAAAAGTTTTGTAATCCAAATGAAACACCGAATTGTAAAAAAAAAGAACTTGCCCAAGAAGTTCCGTAGAAAATAGTTGCACTCTTTTTTAACCGTTCGCTCAAGTCACTTTGGGTGACAAACACTTTTAATTTGCGAGCGTACACACTAGCGAGTGGGATGCCCTTTCAACGCGCGAAAAAACGATGGTTCAATTTTGCTAGCCACGCGTTTAAGTCTCCAAGAAGGACGAACACCACTGAGTCCAAGTTAATGCGGATGAAAACACGGGAGCATTTTTTTCTACCCGGTCGTTCAAGTCTCCGAGGGTCTAGATCCGACGGAAACCACTGGCGCGACTGCGATTCTTGCCGGGCGTTCGGGTCCCCGGCGAATTCGGCGCGAATGGGGAGGACCGTTGGTGGGAGGGTGTGTGGCGCTGGCGAGTGTGAGTGCTGTTTTGCGCGCGCGGCGGTGGCGCCGCACAGTGCGGCCCTCTGTAGACAAAAATTAAAAATTCACAACTCGACACCTGAATATTTTTTCTTGCAGTTTGTCACTCGAAAGATATTTCTGACTCACACTGATGGTTCATCTCCAAATTTTTTGCTCAAAACTACTTCAAATTTGAGTAGAAAGTGGGCGGAAAATGGGTCCAGAATCACTGGTCCATTAGAAATACACGGGATAAAGACGTCAACTTCAAATGAAGATTTCTCGCTTGAAACGCAAAATCCTCTGGGTAGTTGGCATTTCCTTAATCCTCGGATAACCAACTTCAAATCCACAAACTGCTTTTGTGAACTTTTTTCCTCTGTAAAGAGATATCAGCTTTACGTGTAAGCTGAACTTCTTACGCACGTTAGCTAAAAAACTCCAACATCCCTACTTCAGTTCCACCAAAAAGATCTTGCGACTTTTTGCGAATATCAGAGATATTTGAAGTTAAAGTTTTGGTGTTTCACGCTACATTTTTAACATAGGGCTAATTCGAGGTTGCCAATTTCAAATGAACTTTTCTCGAAAAATACGCAAAAAATGAGTAAAATTCCGAGTTATAACATTGTCTTATTCCTCGACTGTTTTACTTTGATGGTGCCAAAGTATTTTCCTATGTCGGTGCTACTAACTTCAGTATTCAAAGTTAAGTGTCTTCACTGGAAAAATAACACATTGGATCTTAAGTCCAGACTCTTGATTCAATCAGATTTAAGCTTAAATCAAAAGGAAATCCGCTCAAATTAAGAGGGTTGGTTCTTGATTTAAGCTTAAATCTGATTGAATCAAGAGAATTTTTTCTTGTCGATGTTTTTAAGTGTCTGGACTCTAGATCCAATGTGTTTTTTTTTTTTTTCAGTTATCTTCGAATGAATTTTTCTCGAAAAATACACAAAATATCCTGAGATATAACATTTTCTTATTCCTCGAGTGTTTTACTTTGATAGTGCCGAAGAGTTGTCCTATGTCGGTGCTACTATCTACATTGTTTAAATTTAAGTGTCTTTTACCGATTTTTGTCCGCATCGTTCACTGGAAAAAAAAACACATTGGATATAGAGTCCAGACTCTTAAAAACATCGACAAGACAAGATACTCTTGATTCAATCAGATTAAAGCTTAAATCAAGAACCCAGCCTCTTAATTTGAGCGGATTTCCTTTCGATTTAAGCTTAAATCTGATTGAATCAAGAGTCCTTTTTCTTGTCAATGTTTTCAAGAGTCTGGACTCTAGATCCAATGTATTTTTTTTTTCCAGTGTGATTGTGGCAACCCTGTAATGTTAGTCAGGAATATCTTTCAGATGATAAACACACAAAAAATATTCAAATGTCGAGTTGTGAGTTTTTTATTTTCGTCCACTGTGCGGCGGTGGCGGCGGCCCGGGCCGCGATGCGGTGGTGCGGATCGCCCGGGCTCCCGGCGTTACTCGCTTTCACTTGACTCGCTAATCCCCGCGAGTTGCGAGCAAGAGTCGCGGGTCCGAGCAAAGGCTCCCGAGATGCAGATGCAGTCGCGCTCCAGGGATTGTCGCTTCTCTCGAGTTATCGATTCTGCTCCCGACGGTGCTGGATAAAGCCGGTGCATACGTAACGCGCGTTACGATTTTGGCTTGGAGGCCAAGTGGAACAAGTTCAAAGCGAGGTTGCTAAAATCCGTGATTTATTGTTTTCACTGGCGTCATCCAGGCGAATACAAGAAGGTGGTGAAGGGGACATGCGCCCTCCCCCACTTCTCCAGGAAAAAAGGAGGAAGAAAAAGGGAAGAAAGAACGAAGGAAGGGATGGAGGAAAGAAGAAGGAAGGACGCTTTCATTTGTTAATTATTCAAGACAAAATTGACTCAGACTACACATTAGATGCTTTAAATTTCCGAAAATTATCTGGACGTATTTCTGTTAAACGGACCTAAGCGCCATAGGGTGAGGAAGGTAGAGGGGGGCTTGGATTGGCGGCGGAATAGGGCGTCCGGCTTATTCCGTTCTATACTCGCAATGATTTTCCACGGCGCTTAGATCCGTTTGACAGAACGCGCTATCCATCATTCTAAATTCCTCAAAAGGAACTCAAATTGGCGCTTAGTTCCGTTTGATATAAATACGTCCATATGAAGGAAGCCTCTGTGGACTGATTTTTGAAATGATAGACAAAGCGATAAACAAAGAAGACTTAGGGAGTTTGGAGCGATCGAATTGGTTGAAATGTATGGTTCCTACAGAGTAAGGGAGAAAATGATGGACTAACTGTCGGGTTTCTCGTGGGTTGCCGTCAGTTAGTCTATTACCTACCTCCTTTGTCCATTGCAGTCACCCTCCTCCACCAATAGGATCCCTCCATATCCCGTTTGTTTCCTTTTTCTATAGCTTTGTCTATCAATTTCAATAATCGGCCTGCTGGCACCACGAAGTGTCTCGATTCGCCTGAGTGGCGTACCCCGGAATGAAAGGCCATCTATATAAGATCATAGGCTATTGTATCGATTTTTTACCCCCTCACTCTTCCCGTGTCGTGTAAGGTCGTGTAAGTACGAGTCTCTCGATTGTTCATGTTACGTTGATTCATATTTCTCAACAATTTGGAAAACTCTTGATATAATTATCCTCTATTCTCCTTCAAAAATGGGTGAGGCAGTACCCAGACCCACCTTGTTTCTCTGAGTAATTTGCTTCTATTCTATCAATTGTGGCTACAGGGTCCCTTTTATGATCAAACTTCCACACAATTTGAAATTTCAGCAAAATCTCAACGCAAGTCTTGACTGACTTGACTGACAACTCAAACCAGAAATAATTGTTCCCAGTCAAGAGCGTTGTACCTGCCAGGCAGCGACGCTCGCAATGAATAATTTATAAAACCGCGGGACGGTTGGATTCATTCACTCCTTTTTCACCGTGAACTTAACTTTCCGAGAGGTTTCCAGCTCAATGATTTCCAACTGTCCGGGCGCGGGTGCCCCGGCAAAACCGGAACCGTTGCGTCAGCGCGTGGGCTTCGACATGAAATTAATAATACCCTGGCATTTCTGAAACAATTAAACGCGTTTTCCACCGTTTTTCAACTCTCACACGGAGCTGTCGCGCCGCTCTCTGGCGGGGCTTACAGGAAACTTGTACTTGTTCTTTCATTTCCCCGAGAAATCGTGTTAGCATCCTCTCATTTGCTTATCGGCCGAGCATCATCGGAAGCATCGTTGTCGCGAACAATGGCCTCTTCTGCTCGTTGTTTGCCCCCACTTCACTCACTCCAGAACAGCTTTCAATAATTATACAACTACCATTTAACCTTCATTATGCCGATGCGAGAGGAAGAAGGGTTAAATGGGTCAGTTGCGCTGGTCACAGAATCGTGTTCTGATACTTGATTCTTGTAGATCAGCTAAAAATAATAAGATCTGTCCAAACTGCGATTTTCTACGTTCAATATTAACAAAAATGCCGCCCCTTGAGAAGTCGAGTTTTTGACGTCATCCACCGCGGTAGTGACACCCTTGGTTTCTTCCACCTTGCTTACAACAGTCGGTGTGATGCACATTCGAAATGGTTTCTTAACGTGAAACTCGGATGAAAGCAAGGTGGAAGAAATTAAGGGTGTCATTACCACGGCGGATGACGTCAAAAACCCGACTTTTCAAACGGCGATACTCGGCTAATATTGAACGTAGAAAGTCGCTGTCTGGACAGATCTTATAATTTTTAGCTAATCTACTAGAATCAAGCATCAAAACACGATTCTGTGACTAGCGCAGCTGACCCATTCGTAAACAGTTGGATGATAATCTACAAAATTATGTTCATTTTTAGAATTTGTGAACGTGTCATTCGGAGGGAAATGAAAACAGCGGGTGCAACTAAATGATCACGAATATACCGGTTACGTTAAGTCTATATAGAACCAATGTTTTTCAGTCTGCAGAAATAATACTTCAGTTCATCGAACTGAAGGTCAGTTCGCTCGGCTGATGGGTTAGTTTGCCGCTCCTCTTGCGTAAGTGCGTAAAGTAGTTTCAGGATGAGCCCTATTGACCATATGACTCCATCCTTACCAGGGCTCACGTTAAAACCGAAATGGGGCCGTTCATAAAGTACGTCATCCACCCGAGGAGGAGTCATCCTTCCCAATGACACGTTCACAAATTCTAAAAATGAAGGTGACAAAGGGAGAGAAAGAATCAAGCAAAAGTGACGTCACCGTATCATAGTGAGAAAGAGAATGGATGTCAGACTTTTCTTGTGTACTCAAAGTTATTTTTGATTCATTTTAATTTATGAGTCAATATATGATGCGCCGGTAGCAAAGTTCGCCACAACCCCACATCTACGCAAATAAGAGGAGGCAAGTTAGAAACGACGTGATTTTTAGTGGAGGTGAATGACATGTAGGAGAAACAAGATGGAGGTAGGAGTCAAAAAGTCAGAAAAAATGGATGACGTAATACGCATGGACGGCCTCAATAAGCCCTTACGCCACAAAAGCGACGAGTTCTCTACCAAAAAGCGCAAAATGAACTATTTGTTTAGAATAGCGGACTTTAGTTTTCTCTGCATGGTAGCAATATATCACTACCCCAGAGCCAAAAGTACCTAACATTTTTGGAAAAATCGAGTTAGTGGCATTTTCGAAATTTCTGTTGACAGCTCCGTGTTTGTGGAAAAGATAGCTCTGTCTTACGCTGGTTATAAGATACAGAGTCTCAAAAATTCCGATTTACATTGGAATCAATCGGACTATGTAGGTACCTTTTCCCTGGTAAAAATTGACAATGAGAGCTGCGTTTCAAAATACCATAGGAATTCTAGTGGCCGGCCATAGAAAGCTTAAGAAAATCTTATAGTTGACTGTAGAAAGCGAAGAAAATCATCCAACTGGGCTAT